ATAAAACAAGTTAAGGCAAGGCAAGGCAAGTTTATTTGTATAGCACAATCCGTACACAAAGTAATTCAAAGTGCTTCACAGAATAAGAAATACATTAAAATCATAATAAAAACAAATCAAAACATAAATAATCATGAAGATTAAAATTAAAAAAGAGAGACATAAATTGGAGAGAAGAGTGCGGAATGAAAACCTTTCAGTCATATGCACAGTTAAACAGAAATGTTTTGAGCCTGGATTTAAACAGCGTCACAGAAGAGGCCTGTCTCACATGTTCAGGAAGACTGTTCCAGGTTTTAGCTGCATGAACCTGAAATGCTGACTCACCTTGTTTAGTCCTGACTCTGGGCACCAGCAGGAGGCCGGTCCCTGAGGTCCTCAGAGTGCGAGATGGTTCATATGACACTAACATGTCACAGATGTACTTTGGTGCTCGGCCATGGAGAGACTTGTACACAAGCAGAGCTGCTTTAAAGTCTATTCTCTGAGCCACAGGAAGCCAGTGCAGAGACCTGAGCACAGGACTTATGTGCTCGTACTTCCTCGTTCGAGTAAGGACCGGAGCTGCAGCGTTCTGGATGTTCTGCAGCGTCTCACAGCTCCTTTCGAGAGGCCAGTGAGCAGACCATTACAGTAGTCTAACCTACTGGAGACAAACGCATGGATAAGTTTGATGTGGCTGTTAAAGTTCAAGTCTGAGTCCATTATTACCCCTAGATTTCTTGCCTGATTTGAAGGTTTTAGAGAGAGAGACTGGAGGTGACTGCTGACACTGTCCCTTTGTTTCTGTGGACCAAACACTATGACTTCAGTCTTGTCAGAGTTTAGCTGGAGAAAGTTGTTTTGCATCCACACACTGATCTGTTGGATGCAATGACCAAGTGAGTCCACTGGTCCATAGTCTCCTGCTGCCAGAGAGACGTAGATCTGAGTGTCATCTGCATAATTGTGGTAGGACACATTATTGCTGCTTATTAACTGGCCTAATGGCAGCATGTAGAGATTGAACAACAGGGGGCCCAGGACTGACCCCTGAGGCACCCCACAGGTCAGGGCCATGTGATCTGAGACACAGCTTCCAATTTCAACAAAATACTTCCTGTCTTCTAGATAGGACTTGAACCAGTTTAGTACAGTACCAGAGATGCCCTCCCAGTCCTCTAGTCTCTGTAAGAGGATCCCATGATCGACAGTGTCAAAAGCAGCACTCAGATCTAACAGGATCAAGACTGAGACTTTGCCTGCATCAGTGTTCAGGCGGATGTCATTTGTCACCTTGATAAGAGCAGTCTCAGTGCTGTGGTGGGCTCTAAAACCTGACTGGAAAACATCAAAGGAGTTGTTCATTTGGAGAAAGTTCGTAAGCTGTTGGTAAACAGCTTTTTCAAGGACTTTGCCAAAAAACGGCAGATTTGAGATGGGTCAGAAATTGTTCAGTACTGTGGCATCAAGACTGCTCTTCTTTAGGAGAGGCTTAATGACCGCAGTTTTCAACGCGTTTGGGAATGTTCCAGATTGAAGTGACATGTTAAGTATGTGAGTGAGTGGTGAAAGTAAACTGCTGAGGACGGACTTTAGAAATCTAGTGGGTAACATGTCCAGGCAGCAAGCAGATGAACTCAGACTGGTAACGATCTCTAAAACAGTTTTGTCAGTTACAGGTGCAAAGTGATTCAGCTCTAAGTGTCTCTGAAGTTAATAGGTTGTTTTAGGCGAATATAGCATTTTCAAAACACTAAAAGGTAACATGGTGATCTAAATATGTTATGTGTTAGCATTTGATACCCCACAGAAGTAAAAAACCCTCTCTTTAAAATTTGCAGGTAGCATAAATGTTAATTCAACCAAGACTGTATTGTGTTGCACTGTATCTCTTCACTTTCCCAACAATTTGACTACTTGGGCGTTAACACAAAATATAATATAATGTTTAATTTACATGATTCCAAAGTGTTCCATGAGTGTTTGAAAGATGCTTTTGTTGTCTAAATTGTGAGCTTGTATTACAGCCTGTGAGCCCTGCAATTAAAGACGACCTCTTAAACAAGCCCCATTCATGCACTGCTCCAGCTGCTGCATTCAAAACATATCTCGTGTATGAAAATGATCCCCAGTTTCCCTTAAGCTGTTGTTCATTAGGTGCCCTGTATCTCCCAATGTTGCTTTTAATTACTGTTCAAGTGCAGGATATTTAAGTTTTTTGTTCACTGTAGCAAACAAAATAACACAAAATAATTTCTATTCTCATTTACTTCCCACTCATGTCTGAACTAGCACCTGCAGTGACCATTTGTTGGTAGCTATGTCTGTAATGTTCCAGAGGGCATTTTTATTGATCACAAATTCACTGAAAGTTTGGACTTGAAACTAGAGCCTGACCGATATGGATTTTGTTGTGGCCGATATGAAACCGATATAATGGGAGTTGGAGCTGCCGATAGCCGATATAATCGCCGATATATTTAGCGATGTAAAAATTCACTGTAAATCTTGAATTGTTTAAAAAACTTAGGTTTGGCTCTAGTGGATTCTAAATTGGGTTTATTTAGGCAACATTTATCGTTATTCTGATTCTTTACATCATATTTACATACAGTAGATTGGCCTAATGGCATTTTTGCATCACATTCTAGCTACTAGTGATGGGTATTTTTTTTTTTGGAGAACCGGCTCTTTTGGCTCGGCTCACTAAAGCAGCTGGCTCTTTCGGCTCCCAAGCGACTCTTGAGATTGTTTTGTTGCAAGCAGGACTAAACCAGAACTGAACCAGGACTGAGTGTCGGGCTCGGTCTCTCCCTCACTCGAGCCCAAGATTAGTCGTGGTTTATTCATTTTATGCTGAACTGCAGCCAAATATGCACTTTTTTTTACCCTATGCACACGCATATTTCTGAAAGTTTCGTTTTCAGCCGCTGCTGCTGTCAAACTACGGGTCTACATGCAGCTTGAAGAGAAAAAGTGAGAAAGAGAAAACACGGCTCCCAATAAGAAACATGCTCCCGTTGTTTGCTTCAAAGAGCCGGCTCTAAGAGCCGCTTCAATCGCGACCGACCCATAACTCCTAGCTAGTAAAAAAAACTAGCGCTATTAGCCTTTAGCCGTAAAAACGTGTGCGCCGCGGTAATTAATTATATGCATAAATGTGGATCATTCACACGTCTAGTCACAGCTCATTTACATATCAATGCAGGTCCAGTAACAAATATACGGCCAATATAGTCACTTTACAATAGGTCAATAGAAAACAGCCTGTTTATGTGCGGGAGCTACAGCAGCTAATCGCTAACAAAACCTAAACTAGCTTCAAAGTCGATGTATTTCCAACACTCACCGCTCACACAGGCTCCTCCTCACATCACAAGTCTGCACTAATAAATGTCCTTTTAATCCAGACTCAAACTGATTGTCCGTAAAAAGAAAATAATCTCAGTGTTGCGCACGGCTGCGGGTGTAAACAATAGCACGTGAGTGAAGTGACGTGACTCTGGGGGTGTGTTCAGGGACAGTATGGACACAGACACAGACAAATTACACTGCAGATAAATACTGATGCGGAGCCACATATTAGGGCATTTATCTGTCTGTAAATTGGATTAAATGGACATAATGTAGAGAGTCTAAGCTTTATAACGAGGTATAACATCCCACGTGAAATATCGGCCCATATCAGCAAGCATATCGGCTGATAGCCGATATGTCTCCAGATGTTCATATCGGCCAGCCGATATATCGGTCGGGCTCTACTTGAAACCCTACTGTAGACCTGACCTGCAGGTTTTATTGGTTTGAGTTTTGAGAGTGTTTTGTTTCATTCACACATGTTTAACATATACACCCTGCCTATTTAGGCTGAGTTCTTCTCTCATACAGAAAACATTTTGTGATGTCATGTGTTAATACAGGAAGTGCTCCACTTTCTTTTTAAACTTCATACATCTTCGCTAGAATGGATGATTTCAGACCTTGAATTGCCAATCTCTACTTAAAAAAAGATAGCTGCTAACTTGAAACCTGCTACTCCATGACATAACAATGTGAAATAGTGCATTCTGAGCTTTGGAGATGTAGATAGATTCAAGTATATTCAAGTATGTGTGAATGAAACTAAACACAACTCCAGGCATGTTTTTGATGAGATAACAACATTTTAACATGGCTTAAAGGGACAGTCGGGAATTTTGGACATAGGACCTCATTTCCTAGTTAGTCAGAGTGTTGGAGACGTGTGGAGACACTTTTTTAAATATTCCATCCAGTCCTTGTATTTGCAGAGGTTGCTGGTGCTAGGCTAGTGTATGTCAATGGCCATAGTTAGCTTGATACTAAAAACAGTCTTACCCACTCCATAAAGCACCCGAGGCAAATCTGTTATTATGTCGGTGTCGACAGAGTAATTTTAGAACTAAAACCAACCTTGCATTTGAAGGATTTATGTCTGGCAGCAGCAGCCAATTGTACTTCCCGATGGAAAGCTTGGCAGTGGTGGACTGATATCACTGAGCACCTAGAGAAAATAGTCCCTCAACATACAACGATTCATGCGATGAACATTATTATTGATAGAGCATTATTCTATCAACACAGACATTTACACTGTCTGGCATGATGATTGTTTTGCCTCGGGTGATTTGTGGAGTAGGCAACTGTTTTTAGTGGCAGGCTAACTATGGCCATTGACATGCACTAGCCTAGTACCAGCAACCTCTGCAAATACAAGGACTTGAAGGAATATCTAAAAAAGTGTCTTCACCCATCTCAAACACTCTGGCTCACTAGGAAATGAGGTCCTATGTCCAAAGTTCCAGACTGTCCCTTTAAAGCTCACAAGAATCAGTTTAATGTATTATAGGACCTTTAAGGATGGCCCTATGCCCATCTTTGCTATGAGAGAAAAATTTATGCAGCGCTTTAGTTATGCTATCGATGTTTCCTTTTGTGTACCGACTGATGGGACCTTTTCTGTTTAAATCTAATCTAATTTTTATCTTCTGTCTTTTCAGACCTCGCAACACAGAACCAGTTTGTACCGGTCTTCAAGCTCAGATCCTCTCTTGCTACCGTGACAACAAAGACCAGACGCTCCGGTGCTCAGACCTGGCCAAAGAGTACATGAAGTGTATCCAAGCTGCCAAAAAGGTATACATAAACTACCAAAAATACAGCCTGATAAACGTATTCAGAAACACAATGAGTATTTTTTTGTATTCCATCCCAAATGCTTTTAAGTCGAAATGCTGTGAATGCTAATTATAAGAGTGACATTCTAAAGTAATGTCATATGAAAGCTCAAAAGAGTCAATGATTTATGGACGTTTGTGGCTAACAATGCATTCGGAGTGCTGGCGTTTGAAGTTTCCTGCCGAGAGAGATAGATGTTTTTATTTCCAGCGCTGCTCCATGTCTGATGTAAAAGAAAGAAATAGATTTTTTTTCCTCCCAACCACGCTGTCAGAATTGTTCTCAGGGAGTTACGAACAAAGCCACAAATCAGATTGATAGGATTCAGAGCGCTGTCACTTTAAGTTTTACATAAAAAAACATCTTGTCATTAGAAGTAATTTTCTGAGTCTGATGTAAAAGTCTGAAATCCGACTTCTCTCTCCAAGACTGGTGCAGGAAGACTTGTTTTGCTACACCAGTGGAAATGACACTTTTGTTTTCGCACGGCGCTGTAGCATGGCTGTCACATCTGGTATCGTCTTGTCATCTTGAGGTTGCAGAGTTCATACAGCAAAATTGTTTAAAATCTCTTAAAAGTAGCAAGTTGATGAATAATTTATTCTACACTATTGCGCATTAGTCATTTCGTTTTTTGCATCTAACTTTTTCGGAAGTTAGAAGTTGTGAAAATACATGGGGTGGTTAGTCCTGAATAAACTGTAAATTTGTAGGGATCATAACAGTGGGCCTGAGGAAGGTAAGTTGCTTAATTTTTATTTTTTATTTCTTGGAATTATTTTCATTGCTTAATTTAGTAAACTTTAACTTTATTTTTTGGTATTTCCAATTTTGACAAATAGGACTGCTTTCTCATCTATCTTATCAGTCAGTCTTTGTAACTCTTACATTTATTGAACTTTTATGTAATTTTTATGGTGTACATTTTTCGCCCAAGTCACACTGCAACTAAATAATTTTTGCAAAACGCATCAATGCAGATCAACTCAAGGTTCTGGACCCCGAATCGCCTATAGTCACCTCTACTTACAGATATCTCAAAGTCCATTATGAATATGAGAAAAAAATGGAAAACTGTGTATACAACAGCTCGCTTTAAAATTTCTGCTGTAAGCTCAAATCAGCTCTGTCCATCGGAATGTAAAGTCTAACCTTTCCTCTCAAACTCCGCTGTCCTGCATTATTTAAAAGTTCCCCAAGCATCTATCCAGGAAGTTCAAAAATGCAGTCAAACTCCAAAAGACAGGGATCTGCTGCTGGAGGACACTGTACTGGAGGTTAGTACAGTGGAGGTATTTGCACCCGTGATGCGTTTCCTTCGCTTCATAACAGTCTGCTCACATCTACGCGTTACTCATGGGTGCGGCGGCATCCCACGGCATACAGTAATGCAACAATGTGATAATCAGCTTGCGGCGACTTGATTCCTTCCTTCTAATATGGCTTACAATACGTGTGTGTATTTTTAATGACACGTGCGTCTTTGTAACGCTGTGTATCTTGTCTTATAAATGTAGAATGCCCTGCGTGTGTGCGTCTAGCCCTTTCCTAGCATTAGCCGGTGTGAGATAACGAGCAGTGAAAGCGAGACTCTTTGAACCCTGCCTTTAAAACAGCCAGCCACATCACACGCAATTTGTGTTGGGCCTCAGTGGTGCATGCGTAGTCCGGCGTAACCTCCACATCAAGGTCTTCTGCTCCTGATTAGCCCTGAGGCAGCTCTCTGACTTTCACCCCTATCAATTTGAAAGTTTACAAAGTTTTGGCCCCCGTTTTGTGTCTTTAAAAGCTGTCAGGGTTAGTTTGGTTACTGCTGACAACTTGTTTTTTCTCTCCCCACCGGAGCCTCTCTGTTGTAGGCCGGCAAAATGGGCAGACTAGTTTTGAAGAAGAAAAATATGTATCTATGTCTAACAAATGTCATTGTTAATTAAATGTAAAGATATTGACTGCATAGCCTTTGAAAACATCGATTTTTTTATTGTGATTTTCTTTCATTTTCAATATTAAATGTACTTAACATATTGAATCAAAGCTTGACGACTAAATATCATGATAAAAAACACATGTCTTTTATACCCCTGAAACTGGAGTCCTATCTGAAGAAAGAGTATAAAGATTGGTTTATAGTCCAGCATCAAGCCTCGCTCTGCTGATAGCTGTCTGACCTGAACCGTACAAGCATCTGTGGAGCTAATCAAGGTCCAAGTGCGTCATGGGAATCCAAACAATTACATAGCATTAATCATTTGTTTTTCATTTACTGTGACAATAAACAATCACATTAGGGTCATATGCGGACATTCACGTGTAGTCTTTGTGGATCAACCAATTACAGCCCTTGTGTTCAGTGGAAATTCAATGCATAGTAACTTTTTGGCTGAGGTTTATGTCCACAGCGCAACAAACACCACAAGCTTTCTGATTGGCTTGGCTGCATCGGGAAGCTGTGCCACACATCTGTAGGGATTTGACTCTGGGCTATAAACCAGCCTTAAAAAGCTGATTTGCATTCAGTGTTGTACAAATTATTAAATTAGCCTTATAGTTGTAAAGAGAAGCAGGAGATTCTTTTAGTTTAGTTTATTCACTAGTAAGAGAACTGACGACACTCAACGCAATGTCCATTCAAGTTTGGCCATGTTCCATTGTGGGGAGCATTATTACCTCCGCCAGGGAGGTTATGTTTTTGCTGGCGTTTGTCTGTTTGTTTGTTTGTTTGTTTGTTTGTTTGTTTGTTTGTCTGTTAGCAACATAACTCAAAAAGTTATGGACCGATTTTGATGAAATTTTCAGGATTTGTTGGAAATGTGAAAAGGAAGAACTGATTTCATTTTGGGGGTGATCCGGAAGAAATCCTGGATTCTGGATCACTTTGAAATTTTAGTTAACATTAGAGCCCGACCGATATATTGGAGGCATATCGGCTGTCGGGCGATATGCTTGCTGATAGGGGCCGATATTTCACGCGGGCATGTGATACATCGTTAAAAATCTTAGACTCTCTACATTATGTTCATTTAATCGAATTTACAGACAGATAATTGTCCTAATATGTGGCTCCACATCAGTATTTATCTACAGAGTCATTTGTCTGTGTGTTTGTCCGTACTGTCCCTGAACACACCACAGAGTCGCGTCACTCACGTGCGTTTGTTTACACCGGAGACACAGATCCAAACATTGAGATTATATTCTTTTTACGGACAATCGGTTTGAGTCTGAATTAAAAGGACATTTATTAGTGCAGACTTGTGATGTGAGGAGGAGCCTGTGTGAGCGGTGAGTGTTGGAAATATGTCGACTTTGAAGCGAGTTTTGGTCATTTGTTATGGGTTAGCTGCTGTAGCTCTCGCACATAAACAGGCTGTTTTCTATTGGCCTATTGTAAAGTGATAATATTGGCCGTATATTTGTTACTAGACGTGCATTGATATGTAAATGAGCTGTGAATAGATGTGTGAATTATGACATTTGCGCATATAATTAATTTCCGCGGCGCGCACGTATTTACGGCTAAAGGCTAATAGCAGTAGTTTCTTTACTAGTTATGGGTCCGTCGCGAACGAAATGACTCTTAGAGCCGGCTCTTTGAAGCGAACGACGGGAGCCTGATCCTTATTGGGAGCCGTGTTTTTCTCTTTCTCTCACTTTTTTTCTCTTCACGCCGCATGCAGACTCGTGGTTTGACAGCGGGAGCAACTAAAAACAAAACTTTGAGAAATTTGCGTGTACATAGGATAAAAAAAAAAAAAAAAAAAAAAAACGAGCATATTTGGCTGTAGGTTAGCCTAAAATAAATAAGTCCCGGTTTAATCCTTTTTCAGTCCTGGTTTAGACCTGGTTCAGTCCTGATTCAGTCCTGCTTTAGACGTGCTTTAGACCTGCTTGCAACAAAACAATCTGAAGAGCCGCTTGAGAGCCAAAAGAACCAGCAGCTTTTAGTGAGCTGAGCCAAAAGAGCCGGTTCTCTAAAAAGAACTGGAATACCCATCACTAGTGTCTAGAATGTGATGCAAAAAATCCATTAAGCCAACCTACTGTCTGTAAATATGATGTAAAGAGGCAGAATAACAATAAATGTTGCCTAAATAAACCCAATTTAAAATCCACCAGAGCCAAACCTAAGTTTTTTAAACAATTCAACATTTACAGTGAATTTTTACATCACTAAATATATCGGCGATTATATCGGCTATCAGCAGCTCCAACTCCCTTTATATCGGTTTCATATCGGCTTCATATCGGCCACAGCAAAATCCATATCAGTCGGGCTCTAGTTAACATTGTGGTAAATGGGGCCAAAAATTTTGTTTCTCAATATCTCGGTTAATTATTGACCAAACCCCATGAAATTTGACTCAGGGATAGACAATCGGATCCTCTTTCATATTCCAAAGGCTGATCCGGATCTGATCCAGAAGACTGATTTTATCGCAATTTATATAAAAAATGGGGGTAGTCCTTGGCAGAGGTCTGCGCTCTCTGAGTGCTTTTCTAGTAATTTATGATGAGATATGTCTGTTCTTCTTGGTACAGCAGTGATATTTCCCAGTGACTCATTATATAGTGGTTGATAATTGCTTAAATTACCACTAATATGACAATATAAACTTGCGATAATGGTTGGTTGGATAAGATGGATATAGTTAATTTATATTAGAACAGTAAATACTTTCTCTGAACTTTACAAGTTGCTGTTCTCCAATGTTTTTATTTATAACTGACTGATGTTGTTTCTTGTATGTACTTATACTGTTGGCCTCTTCTAATTTAAGTCTTACCGCTAAAACATTTAATTTTTCTTGGTGTTAGTTACTTGTTTTATTCTCCTTGTTTTTCTTGGCAGCGTGTGTCACCACAAACTTTAGCTCATAAACAAACTTTTCTTTTCTTTTAATCCCAGCGACGACAAAACAAACTCACCCTCCTCCTTTCCTTTTCTTCTTTACCTTGTG